CAATGCGTTCTAAAGTTTAATTGACTCGTTGAATGATTCCTTATATTTGAATCACGAAGAACACGTAAGAGGTGAACAACTTTACAAATAAATCATTTTTTCTAACTCAGGATAATAGAAAAATGTACAAGTTAACCCAAACCGTACCTATGAGACAATGTAAAAGGTACCACTTCTAATAAAACAGTCAGCGAATCCTTCGGTTGTTTTTGAATAAATTCTATAGTAAAATTGACGATTTTTTGTTACAAAGGAACCATTGAATCGCACTCTGATTCTAACTTCACCACCTGGAGTCACATTTTGTTGACCCCCCCATAAAGTCTTCACATAGAAATGTCTACCAGTCGTATTATCAATTCCCCAAAGTTGAACCAACTTAATGTATTGGACATTACTAAAAGTTGGGCTGCGACGAATTTTTATGTTATAAGATTTATTTATTGAATAAGTGATTCCCGGGCGGGCTGGATAAACGACACGGAGACCTAAAGTATTATGCAAAAGATTAACCATTAAGTTGTAAGATTTAATTTTAAATGAAGAATGTAAACTTATACCTTGGCATTCCGGCTCTTGGGTAACATTCGGTTGTTTGTCAGATTCGGAGAGGACGATTCCGAACAAAAAGAAAAATAAGATCAAGAGAGTCACAGGGATCTTCATGACTAGTGAATGAAGTCGAAAATAAGTAAAATTTGACAAGACGAACTTCGTTTTTATTATCTTTTGAGCACACCAATATTTATATGTATTCCTTTTCAAGAGATAAATAAACTCCTTAGAAGAATGAATATTAAGGATCAGTAACGGAAAATATTGACTTTCTTTGATAAACTTTTATAGAAGTTAAGGGAAGATATGAAAAATGCTTGATTTATTGATATTATAGTAAGTGCCATAATCAAAGATATTACAGTATTCTTTATCACGTGAATTTGTTATTATTTTGGGAATATCGTATAATTTTGGCATAATACCTTATATACGTGCTAATTCTTACAGACAATAGCATTTTAAAAGATTCTCTAGATCCTTAAGTTCATTTTTCAATTGATTAACCTCTCTTCTTAATCCTTCAACTTCGGTCGATGTTACAAGGCGTTGATTTTGATGACCGTGAAATGGATTTGTATCATTGGTAGCACCATTTCCTCCAACACCCGGACTTGAGGCGAACTCCAGTAGAGAATTACCTATTTCGTCTGGTCCATATCCTTTGAAAGGATAAGCTGAATCACGTTTGCTTGATGTGGTGACATCCGATTCATCTTCACGCATTTTTGTGAATCCACCTGGTTTCAATGCCACGGACGGAGGTTTCTCAATTTGGTTTAATACGATGGCGTTATTATACGAATAATATTCGCGACCAAATTGGCTGAAGCACATGGACGGTGCGGATCGAAAAATGTATTTCTGAAGGAGACCGTAAGGATTTAATCGCGAGTCGCCCCAGAGAAGCTTGTATATTATAATAAGTAAAGTGGAAAAGCCCCCAATTGCGGGCAGAAGATCATAAGCAGTAAAGTATTTTCTTTCTCGATGGACAGTCACTTCGTATCCACCAAGTGAAGGTTCATAATCTGGTCTGTTTAAAAACACCAGGAAAGATATTGACGTTTATTCCAGCATTAATATTCGAAAGCATGACATTCGGCTCAAGGGTTTACCTAATATGAATTTCGCCCCATTTTCTAGTTTCGTTCCTAAAAAGCGGTATGGCCCTTCTGGACGGTGCCATATCATAGGTAATTTGGAGTCTTCCATCCTGAGGTCATTTTAGAATAAAGTATCACCTATAGAAATATTTCAAACCTAACGAGATAAAATCTTACCAATTTGTACAGCTCGCGGCGCGAGAAAGTAAATAATGATTCACTCGGTAGATTAAAGAAGTCAGGACGGACAAGAAACGGGTCTTGTCCCATCCAGGGCCAATATATACCGAACTGTGCTATTGTTAATGATTTGAAATTGTCAATTAGCGAACGCCTGCTGAATTTTTATAATTAACATTGTAGTTACCCCATCGACGAATCGGGGAAACAGAAGTGGTTGTTTCATTTGAGTAAAGATGAACCGTTATTTCCTCGACCAAGTTTGGAATAAACCTTGCCGAAGGAGGTGGGGAAAGTATGTAACAATTTTTTGCATTTGACAACCATGCTGAATAAGGAGGAAATAGATAACGTGAGATTGGCTATACAGTATATAATTCCACGATAATAGTCAAGTCATTGGTTTAAATCAAGACCTTCACCAACAGTATCCGGAAAAACAAACTTAAATTGATCAATGGGTCTTTGAATCCACCAGTGTGAATCACATTCAACACCCTTGGTACCCAATAAGCCTAAGAAGCATTTCGGTTGTACATTCATGTTCGGTCCACATGTAACAATTCCTGGAATGAACAAACTTTTTCGAACTTCAAAATCTGTTTCAATGAGCGGTCGTTTTTCTGCCGACATTACTTTGCGAACGCCATAAATTGCAAAGATTATAAAGACACTAAAAAACGAGAGAATCGTCAAGATTTTGGTGATGTATTCTATTCTCATATTTGCTAAAGGGGAAGGAAGAAATGATCTGGTACGAAAACGATTCCTGAGGCCCATTATTAAATATATTTTTGGAGGTCAGTGGTTATGCGTGGACGTGTGGATGTGCAAAAGAAATTTGCGAATGTCGAAAAAGAATAATTTTTAAAATGTGAGCAAGAGTGTTATATAAATCTTTGATTAAAGGTCAATTAATCAATGATATCAATCTTCATATTGATATGATTTTTTTTGATATCTTTGATTACACGCCCTTTTCTTGCACAATAATTGACGTGCGATCTGACCGTTATTGGATTCGGAAATTCAGATAAAACCGTTGACGCGCCAATCTCCATTGTTATTCAGCTGGCTAAAGAGTAAGATATCATGTCATGCGTATAAGCTACGAAATAGCCAAAAAACGCCAAATGCAGCTTGTTACAGTATATATTATTTATATCTCAAAAGAAAAATATAAACAGAGAACTAATAGCAAGGAGATATTTTATATAGACAAACCAATGTGATATTCTAAAAGTTTATAAAGATATACTAAAATTAATACAGTTCTGAAATGTATAAGGTCAAGCAAAAAAGACAATAGTAATTTGTCAAATTATTTAAATAATAAAAAAGAAAATTAACCTTGCAATTTCAGAAGAAATTAAAGATATTTATATATATATTTTTGATATATAATTGAATATATAATAAATATAAATAATAATAATAATTATAATTATAAGTATAGAAAAATACTTTAGTACAGAGTAAAAACTTTTTTCTACTTGCATCTGTATTACTATTTTAGAAAATTAAAAAATTAAAAGACAAAATTTTGTCCAAAACTTTTACCAAGGAAAGAGGAGGCTCTCCCTCCAAACCTCCTATCAACAATCCTAAACACATCCTCTTGGACATCATTCTTTCTGATAACAAAAAACTGAAAGCTTTAATCATCTAAAAAATTGTAAAACATCTAAAGTATTTGTCACCAAACCAACAAAAGAAACCCAAATCTCTCCTCTTTCCAATTACCTTAACTCTTGGCTTATCCTATCCATCAAAACTAATCCCAAGAATCCTGATACTGAAACTATCAAATTATTTGAAATCAAATTTGAATCCCGAAGACATACAACCTGTCTCTTCAATTCTCAACTTAACATCTTAGTCTCCACTCTTTCTTTTAAACTTCTCTTCACTTTAAATAAGTTTATAGCCCATCAACTGGACTTCAAGCTTAACAAGAATGACAGAAATATAGTGATTCATAAAGTAGTTAAGAATACTTTAAACTATGATTTTCACTTTTCCTGAAATATATTATCGATTACTACCAATAAAGAAACAAACATCTTTGAAATCAGAAGAAAAGAAACATCTGCCCCTTCATCAAATACTCCAGTTCAAACCGAAACAAGTTTTTCTACTATTCCTTTTAACATTTTTTCCTCTCTTTCCAAAACTACTAAATTACTCACAAAAATCCTGAACAGTTTACCCCCTACCAATGATCAACATACTGTGCATAGTATTTTTATGCAAATTAATGATCTCCCTTATGCATACTTCCATATGATACAAACACATCTACTGGTGCATATATTTTCTCTAAAAGTCCTGTCAATTGTACTATAACTTCACCTATCACAAAACCCAATAGAGAAATTAGTATGGTAATAAATGACCCAATCATACTGTCTGATAATAATACCATCTCTGAGGGAAATGATATATTGAAGAAAAATCCTTTCTACTTATCCTGGGATAAAGAGGTTGCACATACATGCTCCACAAAATCTGCGACACAACTAGAAAATAAATCTATTCCTGCATATTCAAACATTACTTCCCTAAACACTAACAATCTAAACCTCAGCGACTCCTGAATTAATAGCAATAACGATATCAAAAAATATAAATTTATCAATGAATATGATACAATCTTAAACTGTTTTACCAAACTTGAGAACTACGAGTGCAATGCTGATGGCATTCTTAACTTCTTCAATGACATCCACAGCTCCAAAAAAGGGAGAAAGAGAGAATCTCTATCCAACAACTTCAAAAAAATAGAACTCTAAAGAAGAGATTTCTTCAAAACTTTCACCATCAATGCACATATTAAACCAGCCCACCAAAAAGAATTCGAGAACTTAGAGCTTCAACTAACCAATTACTACAAGACTACTTACAATGTGGGATACCTAACCTGAAAAACCAAAACCAAAATCAGAATCCTTATCAAAAAAACAGTCACAGTTGCCTTCCTTAGGAAATTCAGTAAAAACAATCACAGGCCAATTATCATTGCCTTGACTCTGGATTATATCTTAAACTTTTTTCTAGGAGAGAAAAACTCAATCAACAGAGAACAGATTATCAAAATCATATTAACAACAAACTCCTACCTCTACTATCAACTCCTGAAGAGATACCATCAGAAATTAAAATTAAATTGCCATCAGCTGTTTTAATAAAAGACAGATATTCTACGGGTCCTATGGCTCAGGCTCTAAGATCCTTTTCAAATTTGATACCCTACCTATCTCCTATTTTATTCAATGTCCAATACTTTCCTCAGACTTCAAAAAATTAATCAAATACCATCAAGGTATTTTTCCCCTAACTGACAGAGCAAGTCTTAGGAACTTAAAAAATATCACAAACTTACTTTATAAAGATTACTACGTATCAAGTAAGCTTCCAGAAGAATACTTCCAGCTGGCCCCAAAAAAGCAGCCCCTACCTGGAAACTACCAAGACCTCCCCTATGACCTTGCAGAACTATTTCCTGTGGACAATGACATGGATGCAATCAGGCGTGTTGTAAAAGCTCTTAAAGATTATAACTATTATGTCTATTGCCTCCTTAATGACTTTATTAAAGTCAAGCACAGACTTCCCCCTCCACACTGGATAATGGAAAACTAGGGAATCAACCTTTCCATCACTAATCAAGACATGGTCACAAGCTTCATCAAAAGTCTACAAAAAAAATTCTTCGTTATCTTGCCTCTCGGATCTGAATGGATCACTGGTCATCTCATTCAAAGTGATAAATCTCAACTCCCAAAAAACTTTGAAGTTATTCAAAAAGACTTTAGTATCTCAGGAAAAATTAACAAAGCAAGTGAAGACTTCACTACTATTATCAAGAACCTATATTCCAAATACAACTTCTCACTTCTTCCAGAAGAATGGATTACTTCCAGCCTTCCAAAACTTACTACCATTGACAAGGCTAATATAATTCTCAAAAATAACAACACCATGCTAACTTTCCTCTTAACTGAAGATAAAAACCTCAACACAAATATCAGAGAACTCCATAAAATCTTCTATTTCACTAAGCTCTCTCCAGAATTTATAATCACCCCAGATCAACCCAATTCTGGACTTGATTTCTTCTGCAAAATTAACTAATAACAAATTCTTCAGAGACTGTTACCTCACATAACTCCTCTATGGAAACCTCTACATTGATAACTGAATAAGACATAATAACTGTTCAACCTCCCAAACAAAATAAACTCAAAAATCTTATTAATATCTCTACAATTAATATCCAAGGCAATGAAAATTTGGTCAAAACTACTTATCTTACTTTATCTCTAGGAGCCAGAGACATTATCTGCTACTTAGAAATCAAACAATCTATTAAAAAACTATTTCTCAAAAGAATCAATAATGCTACTCTCTTTAATTCTATACCTGATCTATTAATTAAAAATGGTGCCTCCATCATACTAGATAAAAACCTCAAACTACATGTGTTCAAAACCATGATGGTTAACCAATACTAGATAGCCCTCCACCTTAAATTCAAATCCAAAATCAATCTTGTGATAATCTCCTGTTACCTATCCCATAATAAAAAAGAAAGAAAACTTGCAGTTAACTCCCTAAGTTTCTTTATTCAATCAAATTATTCAAAAAACAAAATATCACAAATACTAGCAGGTAACTTCAATTCTTATACCAGGGAAACCCCTACCTTAATACTCATACCACCAATGTCAGAAGGCACATTTATAATTATTTGTAAACATGGCTGGATGTAGCTAAGGCTCTTGGCTACAAATCTGACTTCACCCATATAACTTCTTCCAGTACATCCAGAATCGACCAAATTTGGATCTTCCACCATCTTTTTAACAAATCTTGAATTACAGAGTTATAATACCTCCAATTTCCTCTGATCATAAGATGATTAAAATTATCTTAAGTTGGTTCAAATATTCTCTCAAAACCTATAAATCAAACAAAATTTTTGATTTCAAGAAAGCTAAGTCTGACGATATCAAAAGTTTTACAGAAAAAGTAGATCTTACTTTAAGTGTATTCAACAATCCAACCTGGAATGTTGTTGTAAATGCCATCAAAAGCTTACTCACAAACAATATATCCAAAATAAAAACAAACATCTTGCAAAAATCATCTATACCTGGTATAAAGCATCTCCATAAACATATTAGGATTCTCCTCAAAGCTCACAAAATAAGTCAAAACCTTAGCAAATCTATAAAAGAAATCTATTTTCAAGTCAATAATACTTATAATATCTTTCTACATGCAATAAAAGAACTTAGAACAGAAATTATTAACAAAACCAAAGAGTGGAATCTTTCATAACTGAAAAAAACATTGGACATAATTTTCTAAAATTCTGGAGCAAGCATAAGCAGGCTATCAAGGCAGCTCTTGGTAACCTCAAACTTTAACTAGATCTCTCACATCTTAAAAATAATAATGGTACCATTACTGATGATATAGATAAAATTAAAAATATCGTGTTAAATCACTTCAAAAACACCTTAAAAAAAAGACAATTAATTATAACTGATAATTGGAAAAAAACATACGAGGATCTCTCAATTAATCCCAACATTTATAATGATGTTTCCAAAGACTTTACCATTGAA